GGAACCTGTTTATTTCTTTTTAGAAAAGCGAGAATGTGTGTTTATGGGAAAGATAACTGGAAGCTAGAGAGCGATGGCTGTGTTTGGACTGATTTCAGAGTATACGATGCATAAACTTAAAGACTGCTGGTGCCCATTGGTAAGTAAAAAATGATAGTCCTATTACAGTGTAATCTTTTTTTCAAACGTTTCCAAGATAGAGATGGTTTGAAAGGACAAACGCTCGACAACTTCAAGTGAGATGTGAAAAGGCATGGAACAAAACCATCCGTGAAATCTTACACTCTTTTAAGGATGGCGTGTGCTGGGTATTTTTTATTTTATTTTAAGTAAGGATAAAGAGAAACAGTTTCCAGAAAAGCTGATCAAAATATTCTTTTAAGGACAGGAAAGAAAACACACAATTCTTTCAATATTCTTTCCATACTCAAATGCTGGTGTGTGTGTGTGTGTGTGTGTGTGTGTGTAAGTAATAACACTTAAGGTTCAGTAAAAGTTTTTGGGAAAGTGTTTTCAGTAAGGCTGACAGGGGGGGATAGATTTACAGAGTACTGTCCAGTGTTAGTCATATTCAGACTTGAGCATCTGAAATCCAAGACTTAAATCCACTGATTTCAATGGGCTATGACTACAGTTGCATATTGCCCACATGACATACTCAGATTGCAAGAGAATGAATTTCCTGGGAACCCAGTTTTGGCTAACCTCATTCCAAGTAGCAAGATTTCCTGGTCCTACGCACAGACATGTATGCAGTGGCACTGCTATTTCAGATTAGTCTCCTTAAGGAAGCCTGTCGTCAGTTTTGGCACAGTGCAAGAGCATTTCATGAATGGGCACAGAAAGTGACTCACTCAAAAATTTATTAAGTTAGCAGATAATTTCAGCTCATGAAGCTCATTTTAGGCCACGAGCCTGCTCTGGAAAAAAAGTGTGTGCGCATTTGAAGTAAACGTCAGCTGTGAATAAATAGGGGAGTCTGGTTAATTTGCACTTTGAATGCATCTGTTTCTGCAGCCACTTACGGCTTGCTCTTGTGCCATGTTGATTTTGGGAGCTTCCCCCTTGCTGGACTTAATTTTAGGTAGACCAATAAAACTCGTTTATTGATACAGGAGCCAGAGTTCGTCTGCCATTATTTTATCTCTCTGCTGCAGTTGATACCTCACACTGTTTGATTTTGTATTTCTGTTGTGTGTGCTCTATGTATTTCCCTTGCCTCGAATATCTTGGGCAGAAAGGTAGCATGCCTCTGAATGGCAGTTACCTGGAATCGCAAGTGGCGAGGGTGATGCTGTGCTCATGTCCTGTTTGTGGGCTTCTCATGGGCATCAAGCTGAACACTGAGATAACCAGATGCTGGGCTAGAGATGGGCCAGTTGGTCTGCTCCTCTTATGTGATAAGTGACTTTTATAAATAAATATTTGGGGACTTTCAGCTTACCTGGTTTGTTGTGGACCAGACAGAATAAAGTGGACCAGACCGTTTCATTTCAGTACACTCTACTTAGGAATGTACAGAAATTTCAGTAGGCTTACTGAAACAAATTTGGCATCAGATGTTTGGCCATCATGCTTCCAGCAATTGCAGATGATGTGAATTTTGCTACTTTTTGTCTTGCTAGGGCTTTGGGTCTTTATTTCCAGCTTCATTCAGGCAGAAATCTGGAGAGCTGCACCTCTTTCCATCACTTCTCATTGTTGTGGGAAAATGTGTAATCTATGAGCTTCTTTTGGTTTATGGCGAGCTGGGAGTAGCAATGAAGGAGAAATTCAGTTTGGCATGCATTTAAAAACGAACCTACTGAATATGCAAAACTCTCAAAACAGTCCATGGACCAAAAATTCCACATTGGAGTTTTGTGACTCGGTTCTCCAGCCAAAGTTGTATACACAAAGTTGTGCCTCTCTGTGCCTTAAAAAAATGAATGGGAGGATCCAGGAACACTAACCTGAAATAATGTGCTTGATAAGAAATGGGAAAGCACTGTTCAAGTCTATGTTACATACCTGAGGTTTTCTTTTTTTGCAGGTAAGTACTCTGACCTTGCAATGCAGCTTTTCAACGATGTGGGAATACACATGAAAATAACTGGGACACATTTGCATGGCAGTATTTTATTTATTTCATAAAATTTATGCACCACTTGCTTGTAAAAAAAGGAAAAGAAAACAGTAAAAACAGCAGTTTTCAGAAAATTAAAATCAGCAACAAACTGGAAACAGATTAAAACACACATTAGTATTCTAGATATCTGGATAGGCTGGTCCAATAGTCAAGGAAGGCCATTTATTTAAGCATCTCTTCTTTTGTAATGGAAAGTTCGCCCTCTAAACATCTGGAATGTGAATCCTTTGCACTTTTCTGACATATAGACTCTCCCTGGATATGTCATATGCTCAGCGGTGGTGATTCCTTGACAGAGGAGATTTACGAAGTGCTCAGGTGCTCTGTGCTGTAGGTCAGATTTGTTGTGTGTCTTCAAAACTGCAATCCCCATCTATTACACGCGGAAAGCAGCTGAATTTCATCATCTCCAACAGCTGTACCACAGCTAGGGTCAGAGCAGCGTGATTTGCTTCGTCTAAACGATCTGTGGATATCTTCCCTTCTCTCCCAAGCCAAAGCAGGTGAGAAGGTCGTACAGAGTGGTCTAGGATATTTGGGCAAATCAGTAATGGTGACATCCCCTCCCCCTACAATCTAGGCATATTTTAAGCTGTTCAGTAGGTTAATATAAGGTTCATTTCCATATGAGTGTGAACCTCATTTATTGCTCATTTGCTACCTCCGTGTCCCTGGGATGTTTTTCCTCCTCATTAGCTCCACATAACACAATTAAGCTTTGACCAACTTGGGAAAGGAATAAATGAGTTGGCGAATGTTCAGTATGTGCCACATACCCTCCAATATTCTGCAGGAGAACTTAGGGTCCCTCTCCAGTGTTCTTGCAACGCCCCTATTCTCACATTAAGGACCAGGGCTGTCTGCATTATTCATTAAAAGCCTGTCCTTAAATGGCTTCTGAAACAGGGTGTGTTAGTAAATTGACAACAACAAAGCCTTTTTTTTTTTTGAGGAAAAGGGAAGGGGAAATAAAAACTTTGTGTGTGTTTTGCTTCCCTTACAAATAGAAGCAAGGCGTAGTTTAAACGGGGAACTTTGGATTGGATGCAGACTAGGAATGTCAGAGAATTTTTACCCCCAAATTTTCATTTCATTTTTTAAAAAAATGCAGAATATGCAAAATTACAGAAATTACAGCTGGGTACATATTCACTCATTGTCAAGACCGGGTTTACTTCCTGCGAATGTAAGGGCTTTTCCATACCTTTTGCTCTGCTCTTTCCAGGCAGAGTTCCACACTTTAATGCTCTGTGTTCCCCAGCCCACCCCTGACCTCTCCCCACGAAAACCTGCTTTTTAAAGCTGAATCGGAGCAAACGTCAAAAAAGGGTGTTTGGGCACAGAGCTCTTGGAGTGGAGAAAAAGAAAGTGTGGATGAACCTTAACTAGCATTTGTTGACACTGGATTCCAGAGCTGTAGATATTAGGCGCCGTATTTTTCACTCCATAAGACGCACCTGGCCATAAGAAGCACCTAGGTTTTAGAGGAGGAAAGGGGGAAAGCCCCATTTTTTGGGGATCAGCTCAAAGTTGTTGAGCTTACTTTGTAAAGGGAAAAATCCTGTTTTTATGGGGTTCAACTCACAGTTCTGCAGCTTCTTTAGGAAAGGAAAGGGAGCCATTTCTACAGTTTCCAGACAGATAATCTAATCAGCCATGTCGCTGGGGAAACAAACGGCCTCTGTCTGCAGAACATTCAACAATGGAGGCCTGGGCAAGGGGGCGGGGCCAGAAAGGGAGCCAGCGATCGACCACACATTCGCTCCATAAGATGCACAGACATTTCCCCTTACTGTTTAGGAGGAAAAAAGTGCCTCTTACGGAGCGAAAAATACGGTAATTAATGCCATTGCCGATCATGTTTGCATTGCATTGGCATTCGATGGACTGTGGCTCCAAATGCACTATACGTTTAAAGCAGTATCATGCCACGTTAAAGAGTCTCGGCTTCCCCCAAAGAATCCTGGGAAGTGTAGTTTGCCAAAGGTGTTGAGAGTTCCTGGAGTTTCCTAGGAAGAGGGATTGATTGTTAAACTACTCTGAGAACTGTGAGGAGAATAGGGACTTTTGTAACAACTCGCAGCACCCTTAATAAACTACACTTTATTTGGGGGAAGCCATGGCTTTTTAACAACTCTGTGTTCACAGTTGTTAAAATAGGCAGTTACAGCATATTCATTTATTTTCCATACGGTTAAGCAAGTTGTTAAGATTAAGCTCCTTTGCATGTTTCCTCTTTGCACTGTAAGTTCTCAGTATAATGGGGTATAAAAATTATGGGGGCAATCCAGCCAGTACTATGTCTTTGGTTTCAGCTGGAGAGTTAAGCATGCACTTAAATCTCTCTTCCTCGTTGCAATAAACAGATGTGATATAAAAGTGTTCAATTTTTAATTTTATCTTTTGCCCTTTCTGGAAGGTGAAGGGCATTAAAATAGAGGTTTTTAATTGAAAATGTTGCAGGCTTTATTGAAATTTTAGTACTGGTTTTCCCTAATGTTACTTTTTTGACTAGCTGTGTAAGTAATTGTATGATGGGGAAATTCTAGGTTAGTTTTATACAATCGTGTTTTTGTTGTTGTTTCGGAGGGGGTAACTTAGCCATGCATGAAAAGATGTAGATGTTTCTGAAGGGAATCCTAAAGAACTGTGTGGCAATATATTCTCCAGTGAATGATAATGTCAAGAGAAAATGGCCAGGGTTTTGTGGGTTCAGGCAAGGAGCTTCTCTAGGCTTAGAATGAAACAGAGATGTGAAGCAACAGACTCTCAAGACCCGTTTATAGACATATACAGAGAATTGTAGAATTGTAGAACAGCAAAGGACCATAAAGATAATCTAATCCAACCTCCTGGAATGCAGGAATCTTTTTGCCCAATGTGGCTCTCAAACCCACAACCCTGAATTAAGAGTCTCATGCTCTACCAGTTGAGCCATTCTGTGCACATGTGCTTACACATTTGCTAAAAACCAGAGCCTCTGTCTCTTGCTTGGTCAATAGAACAGAATCATCTTCTGTGGTACTCAAGCTCCATCCTATTCCACTGCCTTGAAGGCCAAAGGAGCCAACTCCTAGTGACTGTGGGGGCTTTGGCCCCCACAATAAAATATTTGATGGCCATTTCAATTCAAATGGTGTGTGTGAACTGCATCATGTGATCGATTCGCGGGGCTTACCTGGGACCCACAATATTTTATTCAAGTTGACACCCCTGTTGAAGGCTCGTATTCTACCTCCAGCTCTGGTTATATCTGTAGAAACTCTGGAGTGTAGACTTGACTCATGGTAGCATATCCTATGGGCCTGGCCTTCTGTGGTCCATAGCCTCCATGGAAAGTGGTGCTAAGATTCTGTGAGGAACTATTCCTTAACAACATCAGATCTGATAAAATTTCAGCTCTGTATCACATCCCAGATTCAGCAGTGCTCTAAATCCGTGTCCTGAGGAAGGCTGAATGCCCTGTGTGTTTTTTTAAAAAAGACTGTAGCAGCAGAAGCTGCAAAAAGGACTTGCTCTTTCCTCCCCTTAGCTTCTGAGCCATGCCTTCTTGCTCTTCTGGATGTGTCTAAAATGTCTGGTGAGGGGGACAATTTCCATTCCAGTATATACATCCCCCGGTTACCTAACTGGTGCACGAATGACTGGTTAGAAAGCTTCAGATCTTGTTCCTCTCTCTTTTTTACCGAGGCAAACTAATTGGACAGCAGACGCAATTCGAATGTACCCTCATCAGTATGCGAGCTGCGGTGTTTGCAGACAAGCACTGGATGGAATGGATTTGAACATCAAAACAACAGAATGCAATATGTGATTGAAAACAGACGCTGACAGCAAAGGGTTGCCAGCATGGGGTTCTTGATAAAGTCCATTTGGTCTCTCTGCAGACAACTCAGAGTCTTCTCTTTCCCCCACCCCTTTTAATCTTTAACTCTCGACACAGCCCCCCCCCCATCCCAAGCTTCCACTTTCCCTGAAATAAGAGGGATTTCTGGCAGCACTTTTAATGATAAAAAGAAGAAGAGCTTTTGTTTTCATTCTGCCCTCGAACATATCAAAGGGTTCCATTTTATACACTGGGCTGCAATCTTCTGCTCTTGGTTGTTGATAAAAATTACATAACTTCATTTTTTTTTTGTAATGATTGAAGAGTGCACAATCTAGCAGCAAAGCTGCACCATTCAGTTTGGGTGCAGGCAACTCAGTTTGGGTGCAGGCAACAGGAGAGCCATGCAGCCCCACCTACATCATCCCACCAGTCATTCATAAAACCCACAGAACTCATAGAGTTGGAAGGGACCCTGAGGATCATCTAGTCCAGCCCCCTTCAGTTGCATCACAGGGGGTTGGATTAGATTATCTTTGTGGTCCTTTGCTGCTCTACAGTTCTATGATTCTCTGTATATGCATGTAAACGGGTCTTGAGGGCCTGTTGCTTCACATCTCTGTTTCAGGAATATGCAGCTGTCCCTTACCTGCAACCTTGGGGTTATCAGCACCACACTCTAAGCAACCGAGCCATGCTGCCTATAACCATAGCTGTCAACCTTCCCTTTTTTTGTGGGAAATTCCGTTATTCCAGCACCATTTCCCATTGCTATCCTGGATTGTTAGATATCCCGTAGACTGTCCCCGGGACAGGTGAGGCTGCTGATCCCTTATTTTCAAATCTGAAAGTTGACAGCTATGCCTATAACCCAAGAGATGCCATTGTGGACAGAAGCAAAATATGTCAGAGATGAGAGCAATTTGCTTGTTGTGCAAATGAGGGTGTGTTATATAGCACACGGCACTTGCATGCCGAACCAGCGCGGAATCTGCCGATACATATTTCATGTAGTTTTAACTGGCCTAAATAGGCTCATTTCCACAGCTTAGGTTTTGCCGACAAATGCTAATCGAGCCATTTCCATGGTAGTAAAAAGTGCAGTCAACTTAAAATGGCCTATGCAACATTATCTTTACCATTTGAATGTGCAATATCGCTTTTGCTTTCTAGCCAGGACAAAATCTGTTTTGTGATTCCCTTCCAACTAAGTTGAAAAGCAGAAGAACAAGCTGTCAATAATTAATCTAGCAATACAGTAATGTGGAAAGAGGAAGCAGATGAGGACGTTGCGAGATTCATTACTGGCTGAGAATCGCATGTCACAAACCCATCCAAACTCTCCATAGTAACTGCTATGTCGGAATCATTCGCTCTGGGGTGGGGAGGGGGAAGGAGATGCCCTAGATTTTTTTTGAGGCATGCTTTCACAATTAAATAAGAGAGAATATATTTTCCAAGAAAACCACTGCATCAGAGACTTGCAGAAAAATCTAAGTTCTCATTCTTATTAATTTAGCTCCAATTCATCACTTTAACCCAAATATGCTATTTGCATTATTGCCAACAATAATCATACCTATGGTGTGGTTATGCCCCAAGCCGAAAGGAGGATGATGTCTTGCTGCGTTCCTAAGTGTGTGCTCCAGATAATTCACACTCTGATTAGGTAATACAATGACACTATCAGATGTAGGGAAAGCACTATTTTAAATTAAGACTCTTCAAGAAATGTGTGTCTTGAGGACCCTTTAATTGGGAAAAGATGGAGTGGAAGTACAGAAAAGGACAGAGTACAGGCTAGTGTCTAGACCTAGGCACAATTTATGCATCAGAATGTGGATCGTGCCAATTAAACAGGGGTAGAAGCAGTGATGGTCGGTGCCCATTGGGACTGGTAGGAGGGAAGGCTGAGGATTGGCGGGACCAGAGCCAGTAACAAGTAGAGATGCCCCCTGACTGGTTGTAAGGCAGAAGGCAGAAAGGTGGGGATTGGCTTAGGTTGTTCTAATGGACCATTTGCCCTAATAAACCAGTCTCTGGTGATTTGAAAAACAAGAACAACGGTAGTGGGTAGGTTTCATGAACTGGCTGGATGCACAGGAACGATGGGAGGCACCAGCTGGGGAACTCCCAAGGGCACCCTCAAGAGAAGAAGGTTCTGAGACAGGGGACTGGTGGTGGGATGACAATGAGTGGTTTGAGAGGCAGCAGACTGGGAACATTGGAAGCTGAAGAGGTAACAGGGCTCAGTGAGCAGGAAGATGCTGTGGCAGAGAGTCCAGACTCAGAGGCAGAAGCAGAGTGGGGTGCCAAGAGGCAGAGTGGAGGCAGGCTGCTGAAGAAGTTGTGGAATCTCCCTCTCCAGGGGTGACCAGCTCCCCTCACCCCTGGTCTCCCAGAGCACACAGAGGAATGAAAAGGGTGGAGCAAAGAGGGACGAGATGAAGGAGCCTTAGGCTGCTGGGGAAGAAACAGAGGTAGGAGCCTTAGAGAATGGTGGAAAGGTGGGGATCTTCAATCCTCGCAGCTGCCTCCTTGGGGAAGAGTTGCTATGATCACTAGGCCCACATTGCTTTGGTTTCTTTGAATAAAGAGTTAGCTTCACAGAAACTGGGTGTTTTATGGCTGAGCTGTCCCTGACTCTGGCTCCTGACAGTAGGATGGTTATGCTAAAAAGTCCTCTCAGCTGTTCCCCAATGCCAACCCTCCTTGTTCAAACAAATAAAGTGGTACCTCGGGTTAAGTACTTAATTCGTTCCGGAGGTCCGTTCTTAACCTGAAACTGTTCTTAACCTGAAGCACCACTTTAGCTAATGGGGCCTCCCACTGCTGCTGCGCTGCCGGAGCACAATTTCTGTTCTCAACCTGAAGCAAAGTTCTTAACCCGAGGTACTATTTCTGGGTTAGCGGAGTCTGTAACCTGCAGCTTATGTAACCCGAGGTACCACTGTATATATGAACGGCAATGATGGGGTGGCGATCCCAGTACAAGGATGTGGGACCTAGTTCAGAATCAAAGAAGGACCCGGATCCAGCAAGCTCAGCAGAAGTTTGGCTAGGTTTCTTCTGGCATCTTGCATACCTAATGCAAATATTCAGCCACCACCTAAGATGCTGATTTATATTAGATTCACCTTTAAGTTAAGAGACAGCTCAAAATGGTTAAGTTTATTGTACTGTTTTGGTTAGGTTTATTGCACATTTTAGCTGCTCTGACATTTTAGAATCTTATTCTAAAATGTTGCTTCCATATACAGATTTTCTCAGTCTAGTAGTAGTCTGGGGCCATTGCCATTGATGGCAAATGCCTGCTAGTTTCTGTCCAGTATAGGCACATTTCCCTAGTAAGTATGACGTGCAGTATTTGAAGCAAAAACACTCCCCCCCCATTCTGTTATTCCAGCAAATTTCTTGGCATCATTGAAAACAGTGCTGGTTCTCCTTCAATGCTACAAGTGTACTCAGTAAAGAGGTGCAGATTAAGAGCAGTCACAAGTAATGCAAGGTGATAATCATATTTAACTGTTTTATTGATATCATTAAAGGTTTGGACTCATCAATGCATCGTCCAGATATAATGGCTTTTGGAGCTGCAGCCTAGAAATAGATCTTGTGGTAATCTATCTATCCAGCCAGGCCCCTGAAGCATTGCTAGATTGAGAAAATCAATATATGGAAGCAACATTTTAGCTGCTCTGGCTTTTTAGAATATGATCCTTTGCCAAGAAACCGAACCCTCATTTGAAGGTAATTGTAAATGTCACTCTTGAGTAGCTCGGAAATCATTGTTTTAGACAGGATCCATCAATTCTGAAAAATAGCATGTAGCACAATGTTCCATTACACACACCCATCCTGATCTGATTCCAGCTTGCGCTGGTACTGCATGATGTATGTGTACAGTGGCTTGGCAATGCTGATTTTAATCCCGTACTGAAATCTGTTCATACCAGTTAAGAATCTGGCCCAAGGGCATTGTCAAATATGGCTACAATCACAGTAGCAGGTTACAGCATTTATCAAGAATCATTACAATGTGTTACACCAGGCCAAAGAAAATGATAAGTGACAATGATCAAATAGTCAAATGCCTTATTGATCAGCGGGGCGAATCCT